ATCATATTTGTTTGTCAAAGCTGAATTCAGGGCAAACTACGCTAAATTAGCGTTTTGAGCTAACAGCTACAATAAGCATAAAAGTTACCTTACGGCTATCATTTGTTAACATGACGCTTGTTCTCATACATGTAATACATTTATTACCAACCTGAGAGTTTATCCGCTGGTCATTCGACTTCTGAAGTCTTAATTCAGCTCAAGACGCTGTAGATTCCCGTCAGTAACACTTTCGGTCCGCTAGTAAAACGTAGTTCTATTAATCTGCGCTTGAACCGGAACCGGATGTAAGTTCCAAAAAACAGAATTTTGGAACTGAAATTGAATTGTAGAACTGAAACCGAAATTATTCGAGAGCTGAATTTTTAAAGGATAAAATGCAGTTTCAAAGCAAATCAATTCATTTTCAAAATATAAATTCAATTTCAATTTAGTGATGATCATTTTCAAACCATAAATTCAATTTCAAATTAGACTAATTCAAATTCATTTTCAAAAGCATTTATTCAAGTTACAATTCAGATTCAATCTGAGCAATTCAAATTCAAATTGAACTTATTCAAATTCAGTTTCTGATGGCACAGATTTCTGCCCATAATGGGGTTACAAGTCGGAGATCGGTAGCGTTGCAGAAAAACACTGAAATGTACATAACAACGGGAAGGTACAAGAAGAAAAAAAGAGACCTCCACTCATGCTGTGCTTCCATGGTAGGACAGCACGAGAACAGGAAACAAAAAAACTCCTATGCACAAAAAAGCACATGAATGTCCACAGCACAACATTGTGAAGACATGACAAGCCACAGGGTTGGGTAGGGGATGAGGAGTAATCCCAGGCAACACAGCAGCCATCCTGCAACGGCGTCGTCTCCAGCGCGGGCCCAGACCCGCCTCGTGTTCCCAGGGGGCAACAAGCATCGAAGGCGTTGGAAAGGGAGGGGGGATGAGTGAGTGCTTATCAGTGTAAGTGTATGTGTGTGCGTGTCCATAGTTCAGCTGAGACAGTGTCCTTCGCCCTATCAGGCTAAGTAAACAGCCAATCCAGGTGGCCTTGCATGGGATGGGAAGAATAGTCATCACACAGTCGTTATCAGGGAGTGATTGTTCGGCTCCAGCCTTGGGCCTGCAGCTGGCGCCGTGGTGGTGTCCGCATTACGATGTTGATTTTTCTTTCATGCGACCAGCCCAGGAGAATTTCAAGCTGCTCTTTAACACTCTGACGCTGGTCTCTCAATCTCCCGTTGGAGAGCCGCGAGCCTCCCCATGATGGTATCAAACTTCTATTCCGTGGTGTTGTCATTCTTTTGATTCTGAGACCTCACAACTGCAGTGATCCGTTCCGCGATGTGATCCAACTTTCGCTCAAGGGTCTCATTTTGAGCAGGCCTCTCTCTGATGTATCCCCCCATACGCCCAATGGTGTTGTTTTGAGCCTTCACAGCAGCTGTAAGCGTCTCCAAGTGTTAACCATGCTGCGTTCGTTGTGAGAGGTCGCGCCTCGTCCCATCGCTTCGATTCCAGCGGGCAGCCTTGGGGGGGTTTGAACAGCCGGTTCCGCTCTCTTATTTCTCCTATAAACCAGGGCCAAGCCAGCTCCGATCAGCAAGAACCCTGTTATCATGGTTCCGAATAGGTAGATATCTTCAGCGTCCTCGATGCATTCTCTGTGCTTTTTCGGCACTGCGCATGCGCGTTTTACCCATATTCTATGGCGATATATCATTTTCTTATTGTTGCCTAGCTTTGTACTGGTATTACCGTGAATGGTATAATATTGCCCAGCCCTAGCCGTGTGTATATAAGCCCTGTGTTTCCTTTGTTCTCTGTCGCGTTGTTAACATCTACTACCCTCATTCCCCACTGTCTGTTCTGTCTGCCTGTTTAGTTTAGTTACTTTCCCAGTTTTCTGTTTTGCCTGCTGTCCAGCAATAAAGCTGAGTTGTTTAAGTTCACTTTTGCCTCTGCAAGTCTTACTCTTGGGTCCACCATTCCAGCCTGCCTGCACAGTCATGACACAATTGCAAAGAGCAAAGGCCTCAAAGGGGGCAGCCTTGTCGTGTCTTGCAATGAAAAAAAAAAGTGCAGATTTATCTTGATTAGTAAGAATGGAAGAAGTGGGATGCCTATATATCATATCAACCGATGATATACACCTTTCCATAATTTCTCCTTGCATTACCACTTTAAATGTTTCCCATAAAATTGAATCAGAAACATCTTGTTTATCATTAGTTTCCAAGAATTCTGATATTTACTTGTCATAAGTTGGCAGAAGGATGCCTCACGCAGGAGTGACGAGTGAAAACGCCAGTTTTATAACACAGAATTCCAAAACTAAAGAGGTTGGAGAATGATCTGAGATCAAGATGTTGTGATAAGTTGAACATATAACTTTAGAAATCAATTTGGAATCAAGCAAAAAGTAATCTATTCTGGAGTACGATTTGTGCACTTGTGAAAAAAAAGAATAATCTCTAGGGTTACACAGGGTTTGATGTCTCCAAACATCAACTAGATTAATGAAACTCAACATATTATTCAGAACAGTTGAAGAATTAAACAACTGAGAGGTTTGAGTAGATCTGTCCAAGTGTTTGTCAAGTTGCCTCCTAAAATTACATGAGTATCAGAGAGATTAGGTAATAAATTAAATATAGCTCGTTTGTGCACATGCCCAAGTCCTCGCACATTCCATCTCACAAATCTATTGCCACCGCTTAGCGATGATAGATTAGGATTCCCTCCTGAAAAAAATAGCACTGTATACATAAATTGCCGTTGTATAACACTGATAAGTACAACATGCCAACAAGACAAAAAACATAACCGTCTTCCTCCCCATCCCACTTTCCCAGACAAAAAATAAACCCTCACAGAGGGTCCGCAAGACCACTATGAACTAAACCGTCCAAGGTAACGAGCTCTCCAGCCTCCCCCCACAAAAAAAGAAAAATAATTATACCCTCAATGCCTACACAGTTGACAGAAAAATGAAATAGTCACATACATCCCGATGCAAGGAGTTCCAAATGAAATATCAGCAATAATAAATTAGTTACAGTCTTCCTTTATAGTTCCCAAAAATCCTTAGTCTCACCATGGAGCCATGCATTACTCGTAAATGCGCTGGATAATAGAAACTACACCGAGCTCCAGCATCCATTAGGCGTTTACGCACGTCCTGGAAGACCTGATGCTTTTTCACCACCTCCGTCGGGAAGTCAGGGAAGATGTGAATTGCCTTGCCATTGTAGTTCAAGGGAGACTGTTGCTGAGCAAGCTGTAGTATCTTCTCTCTCACTTGGAAGCGGTGAATCCGCGCTATAGTTACCCGAGGATGGTCTCCTTCCCTGGGGGTGTGGCCACCCAAACGGTGTGCTCGGTCAATGTCCAATAGCTTCTCAAAATTGTGGGACCACTGCTACCTTCACCTTCCACATTTTCTCGACCTCTTCTCTGAGCTCTTGGTATTTCTCGAGCTTCCCATGTCCCTTCTTTCTGAGGTTGCTTTCATTGGGACCTGCTACGTCTGTCTTCTTCTGTTTGTCTACCACCACTATGTCCGGTTGGTTAGCCACCCGGCTTACTTACATTTAGTCAGTGATGGGAATAACGGCGTTACAAGTAACGGCGTTACTTTTTTCAGTAACGAGTAATCTAACTAATTACTATTCCTATCGTTACAACGCTGTTACAGTTACTAATAAGAAAATGCGGTCCATTACTATTTTTCAATAAACAGACGGTTGAAGCTGTGTTCAGCTTACCGCATCTTATATCAGTTGCACGGAAGTAATGTGGACGCTACAGCTTTAAGCAGCTGCGCGCGCTCCCGCGGACGGCAATCACGATCACTTTCTAGCACAACACCTGGAGCTAAAGGGGCAAAACAATCGCATGAGTGCTGCTGTTTGACTGAGGAAGAATAAGGTAGTCGTGGTAAGCCAATCACATGACCACTTAAAGACAAAGCAACAAGGTGACATATATCAGTTTATAAATTGTGTTGATAGGCCACGTAAAACCAGAGTCATGATAAACAATATATACGCAGCGTTTTTTCCTCAATAGTTTCGTCACGTTTACTGTCTAAGGACAGCGCTAGCAAGTACTCTCTGCTTATGAGCAAAAAACAAACAAACAAACAGGGGAAGTTTTAGGAGTGACGGCGAGAGAGAGAGAGAGAGAGACTCTCTTTTATTTCTTTTTCTGCTGTTTCTCTCTCTCTCTTTCTCTCTCTCGCCGTCAATTCTAAAACTTCCCATGTTTGTTTGTTTTTTGTTTTTTCTTGTAACCGAGGACAAGGGATCTTTGCCCCATTTACTCGAGTAAACGGGGCAAAGAAATAAATTGATAATTTATTTATTGCATTAATTAGACACTCAAATTCCCAGTTATTTCCAGACAGGACTTACAACACATCCTACTGATATCCCAGCTGCACATGAGACTTACCACACAAATGGTGCGAAAATTAACACAACACTGCAAACCGTCACACCCCGTTTAGCGACACTGCAATCGATTTACCTGTGGCACGCACTGCAAACAATTCGGGTCTCAGCACAGCTGGGAAGCAGCGCTATGCATGACCTGTAATCTGGGAAGTAGCACAAACAAATAAACAAAAACAAAAAAGGAGGTTAGTCCGCCCTTACGCAACTCGCATTATCGATTAAAATATTACCCAATAAAATATCAATTTTATGAAACCATTCAAAATCACAAAGCTAAAACAAACACTTAATATACCTACAATATTGATCAGTTTCCCTGCGCGCAGTTGATCTAGGGCTTGATCAATTCTTCTATTAAAACTCGTGGTCACACTAAAAAAGTCCAGCGACACACATTAAAAACGGGCACCTACAATAACAAATAATCCAAACAAAATGGCAAAAGGCTCTTACTTAGTATACCCACTCGCATCCAAGTGAATTAATCGTCTCTGTTTTTTTCCACAGAAAAGCGCTGACTTCACCCCACACACCCACTACCTTTTCACAGCTATTCAGCAAATCACCTGGCAGAGAGCAACAAACTGCCAGGTGACACTTGTTGCATGACGTTTAGCGTGTTTGGAGTGTGTAGTTAATGTGTTGTCTTGTGTAGTTAGTGTGTAGTGTTGTGGATAGTTTTTGTTGTGTGTCAGAACAATGAGGCGACTGCTGTCTGGACCCCAGAGGGTTAAATGTTTTTTTTAAAGTAACGCAATAGAATATTGTAACTCAGTTACTAACTTGGTTACTTTTTTGAAGAAGGAACTAGTAACTATAATTAATTACTTTTTCAAAGTAACTAGCCCAACACTGCACTTAGTAGACTTGTAGTCAAGACCGCCTAAACCAAGAACAAGACAATACCAAGACCAAGTCGAGGTGAGACCAAGACCGAGACAAAAAAGTCTTTAAACTGCAGCCAGATGCTGCTTCGTTTACGGGTGTCAGGCATATTTATGTGTTTTTGGGATGCACTTGCATAGTCCTCCGCACTGCTGTCTACTGTCTCACTCACTTACTGAGAGGACAGACGCACGCTCCACTTGACTGTCGCGTCTCTCACCCCCTCTGTTTTTTATATTATCCTATATCCTCCCATGTGATTGGCCACAATATATAGGGATTGGAGCATGGCTGAGCCACTGTGTGAGAGCTGAGCAGCGAAAGGAAATTAAGTGAGGAGCCGGCTCTCGCTCAATGGGAGTTGACGCTTCTAATCAGCTCTTAGAGCTGATGCTTTTATGTGTATGTGTATGTGTTAGTCCCCCGTAAGGAAATTACTCCTCTGCATTTAACCCATTCACCCAGTGAAGCAGTGGGCAGCCACCAATGCAGCGCCTGGGGAGCAGTGTGTCGGGCCGGTACCTTGCTCAGGGGTACCTCAGGGTAGCCGTTCAGTGGATTTGAACCCCTGACCTTCCGATCATGGGGCAAAAACTCTACCTACTGACTAGTAGGTAGGACTAGCTACTGCTAGCCCTACCCCCAGCTAGCCCTGCCCCCTGCTTTTGCGCATGACACATTATCGAACATTACGTTGTGTGTCATGGATACTGATATGAGAGCCCAGCGTGTGCTCCCGATGCAGGGAAAACCAATTCTGCAGGGGAGACCTACCTTGGCACTTGTGCAGGTGAAGCCAAAGGGAAGACATGCTTCACCATATTTTCTAGTCTTTGGCTTAGAATGAAGTTCGCTTGGAAACATATTCAGCGATGCTTCATCTCCTGCTTTGCGTTAGTGTGGGAGCCCGGTCAAAAACCTTTCATGCTATGTTAGCAGTGTCCAAGCAATCTTTTTTTTTCCCTTTTCATACCACGCCCCCCGCGCGCAATGGCTCTGCACCCCCCAGGGGGGCGGGCCCCACACCTTGGGAAGCTCTACTTTAAGGTATTAGACACCGATGGTAAACTGCCATCAGACTCTAAATAAAATGTTATCTATTGTTATCAATATTTTTTAAATTATTTCTTGGTGAGTGGACATATTGGTTACACTTTGACTAATCATTAATCAGTAACACAACCTTCAGAAGCAAAGTGCACTGAGGGTATAATTACTGAAGGTTACTCATTTGTGATGTCAAGGAGGAGCAGAGAATAAAACAGTAAAGCAGACAAAAAAATTACATCATATGGGAGAAAGATACGCTAAAGTGTGGAATAAAAACTCAGTTATTCTAATAAAAAAAAAATCAAGAGATGGAGGTGCGACCTCGACCAGAACTGTTTGACTTCCATGGAGTTGGCATGATCACAGACTTTACAGAAAACTGGGACAACATACAGAACTTCAAAGCAAGACCAGATGATATTCTTATTGCTACTTACCCTAAAGCAGGTAAGGTTAATTTAACCTTAGTAGACAGAATTGTGCCAGCCTGGGTGAACATAAGAAAGTGAAGACATGTGAAAGTAAACGGATTTAAACTCAAATCAAAGCCTTGGAAATTATTTTAGACTCTCTTTATCTCTGTGTGTTTTATTGGCTTTAAAAAACCTTTGAGCTAAATGTTGTGCTGAAAGGCACTATATAAATAAAGCTTAAGGGCATGTACAAGGGTTGTGTGGAGCTAGTTACTATAGTATTTTTTTTTAATAAATAATTTCATGGATTGCTATATTTCCCACTGAACAGCATGGTTTTATCTCTTTCAACCTCAGGAACCACATGGGTCTCCTACATCCTAGATCTTCTGTATTTTGCGCACATGGGTCAAGACCGTCAGACTTCCATCCCTCTTCATGACAGAGTACCCTTCCTGGAGATATGCGAACCCCCTATGCCCAAAGGTCTCAGATCAGTTCTGATTGCAGAAATTTTTTGTGTGTCACATGTTGAAACAGCAGCTGCTAAAATGCAACCTCACTCAATGTGTTTAGAATTCACTGTTGTCTAAATAGAGTGATATAAAAAAATTTTGCTTGATATTTAGATTTGGTTATTTTTCAAATCTATTTGGTTATTAGACACTCAAAATTGTTTGCAAACTCACTCAAAAGTGCCTTAAAATGTTGGCCTTTTAGCCATGTTGACCTCTGACATCTAGAGTCCAACTTATTAGTGGCAAATCAATCATTATTACCTTGCAGGTACAGACTTGGCAGACAAACTTCCCACCACTCCTCGTCTCATTAAAACTCATCTACCAGTCCAGTTTGTACCAAAGTCCTTCTGGGAGCAGCGCTGCAGGGTAAAATGCATATATACCTGTAACCATAGAGACATGGGATTTATGAAACAGATTAGAGCTTGTTGTTGTCTGGTTCTGCAGGTAGTCTACGTGGCCCGCAATGCAAAGGACAATGCAGTGTCCTACTTCCATTTTGAACGCATGGACAGTGGTATGCCAGAACCGGGGAAATGGAGCACCTTCCGGCAGAACTTCATGGAGGGGAAGAGTGAGTTCAGTTTAGTTTTACTGTAGAAAAAAGAGACCAGGTTTTCATTTTATTTCCCATGTAAACACTGTTGTGTTTTGTTGTGTGTTTGTAGTGGTTTTTGGATCGTGGTATGACCATGTGAACGGCTGGTGGGAGAAGAAGCAGACTTATTCAAATTTTCACTACATGTTCTATGAAGATTTGATTGAGGTATCATGAGCTGTGCTAAAGTATGCCATTTACAACAAAGCTCATTACATTAAAAAGTGTCTTGAGTTTGTTAATAAACACGTTGCCCTTGCTGAAAGATTAAATAGCTTTTAGGAAATACTTAGCCTTCGTCTGGTGTTCTAGTCTGTGGGACTCGCTTTCTATGTTTACCAAAAGAAACATTATGCAGTTGTTGTTTTAACTTCAAATTCTTTGCCTTTGTATCATTTTCTTTGAAGAACATATAAATGAAATATAAAATAACACTTCACACAGGACTGTGGACGAGAAATAGACCGACTGTGTTCCTTCCTTAGTTTGTCTCCATCGCCTGAAGAGAAGGAAAGAGTCAAAGCCAGCGTGACTTTTGAC